CTTCACATCAACAGATGGTCCTTACCACCCATAGAGATACTTCTTTTTTGTCCACATTGGACTCAGCTGCCTCCACCTTTCATAACACCCTTATACGTTCCCCAACTGACCAATGTTGATGTATACTCCTATTCATCAGGAAGAAGCTACAGAAGATGAGACCTTCTGCCTTCAACGACCTTAAATATTTAAGGGTCAAAATTGTTCAGGAGGGAAAATGATGAGGAAAACAAAGACAAGAGAAATGTAGCTTAAAAGGCTAACAGACACAAGAAAAAAATGCTCAATATCACTAGCCATCAGGGAAATTCAAATCAAAACCACAACTTATACCAATTAGAATGGCAAAAATTAACTAAACAGGAAACACAAATGTTGGCGAGCACGTGAGAAAGGGGAACCCTCTTACACTGTTGGTGGAAATGCAAGCTGGTACAGCCACTCTGGAAAACAGTATGGAGGTTCCTCAAGAAGTTAAAAATAGAGCTACCCTATGATCCAGCAATTGCACTACTAGGGACTTACCCCAAAGATACAGATGTAGCGAAAAGAAGGGGTACATGCACCCCAATGTTCATAGCAGCAATGTCCACAATAGCCAAACTATGGAAGGAGACAAGATGCCCTTCAACAAACGAATGGATAAAGAAGATATGGCCCATATATACAGTGGGATATTCCTCAGCCCTCAGAAAGGATGAATACCCACCATCTGCACTGACATGGAAGGAACTGGAGGGGATTATGCGAAGTGAAGTAAGTCAAGCAGAGAAAGACTATTATCATGTGGTTTCATTCATATGTGGAACATAAGCAATAGCACAGAAGACCATGGGGGAAGGGAGGGAAAACTTAAGGGGGAGAAAGCAGAGATGGAAACAAACCATGAGAGACTATAGACCCCAAGAAACAAACTGAGGGTTTCAGAGGGGAGGGGTCAGGGGAGGGGGTAACAGGGTGATGGGTATTAAGGAGGGCATGTGTTGTCATGAGCCCTGCGTGTTATATGTAACTAATGAATCACTGAACACTACATCAAAAACTAATGATGTACTATACAGTGGCTAATTGAACATAATAAAAAAAAAAAAAACCAAACCCAAATCTCCTTAGGGGTTGCATCCCACTGATAGATCCCTGAGACATGAAGAGTGTGACCTTTCTCGAGGAACTCATGGCTGCCTTAATGTTGATGTTTTGCTGGAGACTAAAAGTAACCATATCTTAACAGCAGCTAGACCCTCAGCATCCCGAAAGCCTTGCTTCAAAATTCCTTCAAAACTTACTCTATCTCTACCCCACCTCCCTCCATAAACTTAAAAGTATATAATCAGTCACTCCTCACAATCCCAGTGCAGCTCTTTCTGCCCATGGACCCTGTCCCTGTGCTATAATAAAATCACATTTTTGCATCAAAAAATCTTAAGAAATCTTTCTTAGCCATTTGCTCGTGGACCCAAAACTTCAAATCACATCATTTCTATCAGTCTCATCTGTTGTTGAACTGCTCCTGTGAATGTCTCAGGTCAGCTGTGTTCTTCTGCTCCATGATATCTGTTTGGTTCTTTTTATGGTTTTTATCTCTTTGTTGTAATTTTTGCTTGTCCATGTATTGTTTTCTGGACTTTAGGGAGCATCTTTATGGGATTGTTTTTAATTCTCTGTCGGGGAAATCATATAATTCTGCTTGATTAAAATTGGTTTCTGGAAATTTTTTCATGTTACTTTGTTTGGTAAGTCTTTGCCTGGCTCTTCATTTTCCTCGACCCCCTGTGTAGGCAACTGTTCATTAGACAAAGCAGACAACTTTCCAGGTCTTCACAGACTGGACTCATATAGGAAAAAAACCCCACCAATCAGGCCATCTGGAGATTTTTTGTCCACTTGCTTTGTGCTGAATTGGGGTGGGGAGTAGCTATGGTATCCATCAACCTGAAACACCATCTCCATTCTCCCTTCGGTGGTTAAGACTACACAGACTCAGAGCATCAAGACTGTTGAGAGAGATGTTAGTTCTTTGGACATCCTCAGAGAAGTTGGGGTGTTGCATGCATGGATCAACTATTTCCCTCCCCAGGGAGAAGCTGAAAACTGGGATTTTTTTGTCTTGTTACTCTGTGCTGAGCAGGGGAAGGATCACTGATATCTTCCAGCACCATCTACAGACTCTCCATACTTCCCTGGGTGGCTAGGCCAGTCAGAGCTCCAGAGTGGCAAGGCAGAAGCCAGTTCTGCCGGAAGCTGGGGGCTGTAGATGCAGGAACCAACCCCTACCTCCCCTGGGTGAAGCTGGGTGCTAGGGACTCTCTTCCTGATCTCACGGTGCTGCATCAGAGGCAGAGTCCCCAGTGAGAAGATTCCTAAATCTCCCTTCTGGCTTTGATGGGTCTCTCTTCATGTTCTCATGGGATATAGAAGACTTTCATTAGTTTTGATTTCTTTCACAAGGGGAATTTGTGAGCTATTGCTGAGTTAGGGTGTTAGCGGGAAGAAGGGTGCAGGGCTTGCTACTGTACCATCTTGCTCATATCCCAAAATTCCACTGTGTTTTCAGTGCCTCCTTGCAGAGCTTTGTCATACAGTAACTTGTCAGTAAGAGCCTGCTGACTGTGTGAAAGACCAGTGAACAACAAAGAGCAGGAAGACAATAGAAAAAGATCAGATGTATTTCAGATATTTTCTTAGTCACTTCCGGTTAAAGTTTTCTGTAATATTCTGGCAATGAGGTATTGGCGATATCGATCTAAATTACATTAAACTGTTTATTAGAACTGTACTCAATTTGTGTGTAGTGTGGGGATAGTGTAAACCACTGATTATACAGAGTATGGGTGCCACTTTTTCTAAGAGGCCTTCCCTGACCTGCTAAATTTGAGCTGGGGGTTCTCCTCATGTCTTCGATAACACCCTCATGTCCTTCCTAACTGCGTTCGTCACAGCACAGTGTAATCTCTTCCTTCTGTGACAGTATCTCTCAGTAATGTAAGCACCTTTAGGGAAGGAAATGGCTCTGGCTCACTTTTGATTTCTCTGTGTCCAGCACAACTGTCAGCAAAAGAAAGGGTCGACTGAATATGGACAGCTTTGAGATAGTGTGTCCAAGTCAGACTTCACCTACATGTAAACAGACACAATTCATTTCATGGTCCAAGATGGATACAATGCTGATTCTTGCTAACAATTGTTTCCTGTGTCTGGAAAGAGATGCTCAGAAAGCAGCCTTTTGAATATTAATGACTATGTTGTGCCAAAAATATTGGATTTTTGATCTTCCCCTCTGTAAGGCAAGGACATGTCAGGTGCACGTTCTAGTCTCAGCTCCTAGCATAACACATGACATTAAGCTTAGTGTTGCCAGATACAGGGTTCCCAGTAAATTTGAATTTCATATGAAACATGTAATTTTTACTATAACTATGTCCCATACAATATTTGGGATATATTTACACTAAAAAAGTAGTTATCGTGTATCTGAAATTCAAATGTAACTAGAAGTTTTGTATTTTTATTTGTTAAATATGGCAAACCTCACTGAACAGAATCACTTCTAATTTGCATGAATAAATTAATGAGTGTTGTTTTGGGGACACCTGTTCTCTGCCATATGTGTTCAACTCCAGCTCTGCTCCTCAGCTCACTCCACCCCAGGAGAAGTGAAATGATTTATTTGGTAAATTTGAGGGAGTAATAAATGAAACATGCTTAAGTCAGCTCTATGCTTTTCACCTTGGAGGTAAGCCCGCCTGTAGAGAGGTCTACTCCATGTGCAGGCACAAACCTTCTCTGACACTGGAAGGAATCTAGAATTTCGAGAGCAAATTCTCAGGGACACAAAAATTGGAGCCATAGGCTTAAATATAACAGAAATAAAAACAAAAGAGCAGCGTATCGATGAGGTGGGCTTTCAGCGCTTGGATGTGGTCAGAGCAGGGCATTTGCACAGGCATGAGGCTCCTCCTGGACCACCTTTCTAACCTGACTGAGCTCACAGCCATGAGCCTATGGTTTTGTGACCTTGCTGGGTGACATCGGCTTGTGGTGCCTTCTTAAATAGGCTGGTGGATGTTTCCACAGGGCAGGACTAACCTCATGGATAAGCAACAAGGAAAGGGTTCCATAGCCTCATCAGGGGCCTCAAGAGAGCTGGGGTTTAAGTGAGGGCAGTGGGCACAGGGATGACCACGAGGGCTGCCCAGAAATGGAGACTTGGGGGCTGCAGGAGCGGCTCCACAAAGGCCCACGGGCACCCGAGGAGCTTTCCGAAGCAGTCACAGCTTCAGCTGTGCAGCATCCTTTAGAGAAAGTAGAACCCTCTGAAGCTTTGACGGCACTGGAGCTGTTCCACTCACTGGTGGCTGGAACAGTTTTTCGCTCTAAGTTTCCTTGTATGCTACAGTGCACCAGTAATCATCTAGCTCCCAATTGCTCGTGTCAGGCCTAGAAAGGCTCCTCTCTCAGCCACCCCAAACTCCACCCTGCATTAAGGCCCACGATGCACCCTGGAGGATCACGCCTGAATCCCTGTGGTGTTCCCTAGGCTCACAAGTAAAAGTATTTAGAGAATTAATGGGTAAGGTTCAAGGTTATGTGGTTATTATAAATGGGCACGCTGGGCTTGCCTGTGCCCTCTGAGAAAGTGACTGACAAATTTATGAAATTAAAAGTGGGGGGAAGGTCAGGTTCCTGGGGTGCCCATGTGGGAAGGGTCGAGTCTTACTGGACGGACTGGTTGAGGTGTAAGTTTCAGATCACACAGAGCTGTTTCGTTTCCAGATACATCTTCCGCCTGGAACAAGGGTGGGGACCCAGTGAACCAGGCAGGCTTGTCAGGCCAGAGCTGTCCCTCAAAGAGCAGTCTATCTACTTGCTGGAGACTACAGATGCTGTGTCACTCAGACCCCACTCCGTCCAGAACCGCAGTGTCACACGCACCTCGGAGGGGAAGTGAAAGCTAAGAGAAGGTACAAAACGGGTGGTTTCCACCCACCCCCAAGATAGTAAATGTTTGGCACCAACATTAACCTTTTGCTGGAAGGGTGTCTCAACTGAGTTTATGTTAATTGCCACCAACTGACTGGCATCCTACTGACGCCAAACAGAGAATTTATCTCCCCTCCTTCCGTCATATGTGACTGGGTCTCTGTTAGGGTCTTTGGAGACCTTAAACACAGGTTCTGGGGTGTGAGTCTGCTTGGTGCACGTGCTCCGGGCTGGGGGGCTGGCCTCTTAAAATCCAGTGGGTGTGGGGCCGGGGCCCTCTGCTGGGGTCATCTCTGAATCCTATTAGTTCTTTGAAATCATTAAAACCGTGTGTGGCTCATGAGAGTCTTGGCACTGCATTAACACAACTTCTACAGTCCTGGAAGGAAGTATTCAGTTCTCCGGGAACAGTCCTGCTCCAACGGCCTCGGCTCCACCCAGACACTGAGAACCTCTTCTTAGCTGAGGTCGAGCAGGAACAGAAATCGGGGTAAGGGGTGACTTTCATTTCTTTAGACTTTTGACTCAGAAAAGAAAATGTGATATCAGGGTTTGGTTTATTTTGATTTTGTTTTTTTTTGGAATTCTTCTGACAAGGGGATCTAATCTTTGAACCTGACTTTCTTCCTAGGGATATTAACAAGGGAAGGAGTTTTATAGCACAATTTATGACATCTGGATGTTTTAATTTTACTATTAGAGGATCTTAGGGTACTCTTAAATCTCACTGTAGAACCTCTGAACAGCTTACTGGACTGAATTTGGGATGGAAAATGTAATTAGAAGCAAATTGTCACCCTGGGATGCCAAATGACATTGGTGTTATTTAATTAACATTTTCCCCCCTGTGTCTTGGGGAAAATTGCCCAGCACTGCCCAACAGTGGTGCCAGGAGGATACACGCAGGAGCAGAGCTGGTTCTGGTGAAGCATTTGTGAGCACAGCCATCAACTTTCAGGAACATCCCATAGCTGCTGTCGGAGACACAAAGAGAAATGAGATAGGATCCCTAAAAACCTGCAAAGCATTACACCAGTTCTTAGAGAAAAGGGCAACAAATGTGATAAAAATTGTGCTTGCTTCATAAAATGACTCACAAACTACATTACCTTTTTCAAATATTTGCAGGCGTTTGTGTCAATTGACATTATGTCTTTCAAAATACTTGGTAGAATTGCCAGCAACACACTCTGGGCCTGGAATTTTCTTTGTTGAAAGTTTTAAACCAATTAATTAATTAGTTAATTACAGCACTGGTCATGTGTTCTTTCTCTCCTGGTGTCTTTTTCAGTTTATTTTTCAATATTTCTTCCTGGAAAAAAGTGTTAATTTTTCTGGGAACTGTCCATTTCGTCTAATTTTCTTTTTTACTAAAATGATGTATTATCTTATTTTAATTTTTAATAGGTTCAGAATATATAATCATGGCGCGTTCTTCATTGCAGATATTGGTTATCGGTGCCTTCTCTCTTCTTTTGTCCTGATCAGCCAACCATGTGTGGGACCTGTCTCTCATTACTTGTTCGGATGGTGACTCATGGTGTCGTTTCCTTGTGAGCCTGTCTTTGTATGCTTACTGCATTTGGAAATTAATTTATAGAATTAACTTGAAGCCTAAGTTGATTTAATTTTTTCCCAAGCATATTTAGTTGCTAAAAATCTATTTTGGAAAAGTCAGTGTTCTGGAGGCACTAGCAGTACAAGATCATCTTTTTAAAAAATATTTTATGTATTTATTAGAAAGAGAGAGAGAGAGAGACAGAGCATGAGTGGGGGTTACAGGGGCAGAGGGAGAAGCAGACTTCCTTCTGAGCAGGGAGCCTGACACAGACCTAGGTCCCAAGACCCCAGGATCACCACCTGAGCTGAAGGCAAATGCTTAACCCATTGAGCCACCCAGGTGCCCCAGTACAAGATCATCTTAACCCACATCCAAGCATGGTGGCCTTCCAGCCACCAAATGAGCTGAAGCCAGGCACCCATTTGTAGGAGGGGTAGCCTACTTCCAGTTCACCATTTACTCGGGCAGTGGGGCCCTTTGAGGTCCCAACCCAAAAGGGAGGGTGGTTCCCAGAGGCTCACAGACACTAGATTTTGATTTTTGTTGCCAGCCTTACAAGGCTACCTCAATTTCAACTCAGTCCCTTACCAGCATTTCCCCATAGGCTTTCCACCCCCGCCCCATATTGCCACAGGGCATAACGGCCTCCAAAGCTTTTTGCATTCTGATCTTTATCCCAGATCCCTATAGCTAGCTGAAAGGACTTTTTTTGGAATTGTACCTCTGAAAGGTAACACCACTGAGATGAAGCATCTTTAATCTGGAGACCCAATTCTTTTTTTTTTAATTTTTTATTGTTATGTTAATCACCATACATCATTAGTTTTTGATGTAGTGTTCCATGATTCATTGTTTGTGCATAACACCCAGTGCTCCACGCAGAATGTGCCCTCCTTAATACCCATCACCAGGCTAACCCATGCCCCCAACCCCCTCCCCTCTAGAAACCTCAGTTTGTTTTTCAGAGTCCATCGTCTCTCATGGTTCGTCTCCCCCTCTGACTTACTCCCCTTCATTCTTCCCCTCCTGCTATCTTCTTCTTCTTCTTTTTTCTTAACATATATTGCATTATTTGTTTCAGAAGTACTGATCTGTGATTCAACAGTCTTGCACAATTCACAGCGTGGAGACCCAATTCTTATTCACCTTCTGGTAAATGGAGCCACCAAACTCTGCCCCACTTTCACTTCTGCGTGAAGCTGGACTTGATAAGTCTTGAAGCCAAGCAAAGTTTCTCTGGGTTACTCAGGACTTTGTGGTTTCAAAATTCATTTGTTAGCCATGCCGCCAGCCCTGCTAACTCAGCACCAAGCACCCTGGAGCCCAGAGATGTCAAGATTCTCAGCACAGCCCAGGCTGATGTGCTCCTGCTGGTACCCTGTCTTGAGTTGAGCTGTCCGCACCTCCCCAGTGTGAGCCAAGAAGCATGAATCAAAAATCATCTTCCGTGCACACGCAAGCTCATCTTCCCCGACAGCCTCCGTGCAGACTGCTGTGGTGTTCCACTTCTCCCCAAACATCTGAGTGTGCACTTGATCCCCAGTACTTGCTTCCAAACTGCCCTCCTCTGCAGCGGTCTCAGTGTTGGCTGAGGCTGGGCTGGTACGTTTCAGTCCATTCTAAGATTCTGTTTCCAAATAAAATTTTATGAATAGCCCTTTTACTTATAGTCCTTGGTGAAGACATCCTGGCAGCTTTGCCCAGTCCAGTGTGCACAGGGACATGGCCATCCTTTCTGTGGTGGCTGTGGCCCAGGGACAGGCTGCCCTGAAAGTCACACACTCTGCTTCTGTTTCCTGGGGCTCATGACTAACTACTAAGATGACTAACAACACTCATTCATATTTTTTGAAACAACCCCTTCCCACCCTTCCATCATGCTATCAGAGTCTAGAGTTTAAGTAATAAAATTTTAAAATTTATTTTTTTCCTATTATTTAGCAGTTGCTTATTTAAGCAACAAAATTTCAGCCACATCTGCCATCTTCCAGTAATTCGCCAAAATGACCAACACAAAGGGAAAGAGGAGAGGCACCTGCTATAGCCTCTCTAAGCCTCTCAGAAAATGTGGAGTCGTTCCTTTGGCCACATAAGTGCAAATCCACAAGAAAGGTAACACTGTGGCAGATCTGGAAGAGTCTGTGTGTCACCCAGCATGCTGTGCGCATCATTGTAAACACACAAGTTAAGGGCAGGTTTCCTGCCAAGAGAATTAATGTGCCCAGTGAGTGTATTAAGCACTCAAAATGCCGAGCTAGCTTCCTGAAGCGTGTGAAGGAAAATGATCAGAAAGAGAAGGAAGCCGAAGAGAAAGGTACTCGGGTACGTGGTTCCATTTGAGCTAATCTGTCCCACCCAGAGACGCACCCTGTGAGAACCATGGAAAGGAGCCTGAGCAGCGGGAACCCATTCCCTACGGATTCATGGCCTGATAACTGTAAAAAAAAAAAAAAAAAAAAAAAGGAAAACCTCAAGACTATAAAACGGTTTCTCTGTGCTGAGTAGAAGGTTGGTGTCCCCTCCTCCAAAGAAATATTTAAAGCAAACTTTGGTTGTGTCCTAATTCATTGGGTGATGTCTTCACTCAAATTTAGTGTTTTTTTTTTCTTGCTGAAAGATGTGGTTTATTGTGCAACAGAATATATTCAACTGGTGACGGAACTGCCAGATATTACTTATAAAATATCTATAGTAGTTTGAAAATAGTCCCTCTAAATCACCAAGAGAAAAGAATTTTAAAAATAAACAACAGATTATTTGCTCTAAGTCAGGCTCAGAGAAAACTGAGTACTCATAATTGTGTCCTGTCTTAAACAGCTGTGTTTTAAGCATAAGGACCTTGCCTTTGAAGCCTGATACTTAAAAATAGATTGTTTACAGCACCCTGGTTCCTACTAAAATGTTTTCCCTGACATTTCCTTTTACTGTTTTCATACATGGCCCTCTAGCGACTGGGAAACATGTTTTTTTTGGAACTGCTCTTTCTGGCCCTGTTCATTTGTACTTGCTTTTGCTTGAAATACCTGTACTTTCTTTGTTCAGTAGGTGAATCCCTGCCTGTCTTTTGTCCAACCTGAGTGTCCAGGTGAACCTTCCCTGACCCAAGTATTTTTAGGAGAAATGAAAGAGCTTGGAATCAGAGGAGAGAGCTTACTCCTGCTTTGGGATGCAGAATAAAATCCCTTCTATCTCTTCCCCTGTCGTGGGGACACGGCAGGCATGTTTGTTTTTCTTGCGGGTTTTATAATTTTTAAAAAGTTCTGTCTTCCCCATGAGACCTGAGGTTAGAGACTGTGTTTTAGTAAACTTCACACTCCTAGGGACTGGCACACAGTGAGCATTTAACAAATGCACTTTGAATTAATAAAAAGTAAATAAACAGCAAAATTTTACTATTTAATTAATCAAACTTACTTTTCGTATCTTCTGGCATACCTCTGAATGTATTTCTCGGCTCAATGGAGCACTTCCTCTAAGAATGTCTTGACAGGTGTGTGTGTTTGTGTGTGTCTGTGGGGTATGTGTACATGTGGTGTGTATAGTGTGTGGGGTGTTTGTGCGATGTGTGGTGTGTATGGTGTTTATGTGTGGGGTGTGTGTCTGTGTGTGTGTTTTGTATGTGTATAGCATGTAGGGTGTCTGTGGGGTGTGTGTATGTATGTGTGGTGTGTGTGTTTTGTGTGGTGTGTGTGTGTGTATGGTATGCACGTGTGGTGTGTGGTGTGTG